CGGCCGGCTGGCAGGCCAGGGAGGAGCGAAGGGGCCTAGAGGGCTCCGCGAGAACTGAGTGGGGCTGGCGGCCGGCGGGCGCGGGAGCCCGGTTCGCAGAACACCCCGAGGAGGCGGCCTAGAGGGCGGACAGACGGTCAGCAGGGAGGGCCGGCATGCTGCCCCTGCTGCACCCCGCCTGGCCGCTGCTCCTGGGCGCCACGCTGACCTTCCGGGCGCTCAGGCGCGGGCTCTGCCGCCTGCCCCTGCCCGCGCACGTGCGCACCGACCCCCTGCGTACCTGGCGCTGGCACAACCTGCTGGTCTCCTTCACCCACTCCATCGTGTCGGGGATATGGGCGCTGCTGTGGTAAGTGAGCGGCTGGGGGTGAGGTGACCCTGGACCCCGTGCGGGTGCCGCACAGACTCCCATGTTAGCGTTTCCATCACTTACCAGTGGGCCGAGGCCGTGTGTCTCACCTGATTCCCTGTTGGGAAAACTACCCAACCAGGGGCGGCCCAGGGAAACCCGAGGCCCCGGGGTTTCGGCCAAGCCCCTCCTCGCTCCCTTGCCAGCCAATGGCGCGAGCCTGGACTGTCCTGGGACTGCCACGGTCCCAGGGGAGCTGAGGGTCTCTCCGGCTGCCGACTATGCTAAGGGCCTTTCCCCTTGCCGCTCTCCCTCCCAGTTTATGGCAGACGCCTGAGATGCTGGTGGAGATTGAGACAGCGTGGTCGCTCTCCGGCTATTTGCTCGTTTGCTTCTCTGCAGGTAGGTCTTGGCTGGGAAGCCAAGAAGTGGGAGTACAAGGGATAAAAGCTGTTAGGTCTGTTTCATGACCTCTTCTCCACTAGGGTATTTCATCCACGACACGGTGGACATTGTGATTAGTCGTCAGGCCAGAGCTTCTTGGGAATACCTGGTTCACCATGTCATGGTAAGTGAGAACGCATGCACTGTGGTATGTGTAGCCCTGCTGGTGGCAACCTAGCCCCTAGTGCCACGTTCTTTGTGAACGTGAGAGGCCATCTCAACTCCTCCCTGCCGTGTTCCACTTTTCAAGATGAGGTGCCACTATCTTTGTGTTCTTGCTGAACAGGCTGGGAATGGCACCCACCATGCCCAGAACCTGTCTGCAGGAATTAGAATCTGATGGAGTGAATGAAAAAAGTACCTGATGTAAACTGCTAGGCCAGAAGACTTTGGGGTGGTCTGGTGCAGTGCTACATTCCTGTAATCACAGCTACTTGGGGAGGCTAAGGCAAGAATCACAAATTCAAGGAACAGTCTAGGTAACGAGATCTGATCTCAAAAGAGCTAGAGGAGTGTCTCTGCACTCAGCTAAAGTGCCTCCTGCCTTGATCCCTGACAACACAAAATAGAAAAAAAATTGAGACTGTCCAGTTCTCTGGTGGTTAAGACACTTCCACCAACTCCCAGGAGCCTTGGCACTTGGGTTCCCAACTGTTCTCCTTTATCCTCTAGGCCATGGGCGCCTTCTTCTCGGGCATCTTTTGGAAGAGCTTTGTTGGCGGAGGTGTCCTAACACTGCTGGTGGAAGTCAGCAACATCTTCCTCACCATGCGCATGATGATGAAGATCAACAATGCCCAGGATCTCCTCCTCTACCGGGTTAACAAGTATGTCAACCTGGTCATGTACTTCCTCTTCCGCCTGGCCCCTCAGGCCTACCTCACCAACTTCTTCCTGCAGTATGCAGGCCAGAGGACCCTGGGCTCCTTTCTGCTGGCCATCCTGCTCATGCTGGATGTGATGATCCTCATCTACTTTTCCCGCCTTCTGCGCTCTGACTTCTGCCCTGAACGTGTCCCCAGCCAGCAACACAAAGACAAGTTCTTGACTGAATGAGAGAACAGAGCCTGGGACATGTGGCAAGGACAGCAAACACAGCCAGAAGAGAAGCAGCCTCACTTACAAGCTGGGTCTCTACCCCATGCCTGAACACCCACACTATTGAAAACACTAATGAAAGCACTCCTCTGAAGCCTTAAAATCTTTTCTTGGGAAATGGCTGAGGGAAGCAGACAAACCGGTTGGACGTGGTATGTGGGTGTGAGGACAAGGATCCAACCCACACTGACCTGAAATGGATGCTAACGACAATTCTAAACTTCCAGGGATAAAGGAAGCGGGGATCCTGTAAAGCTTGTTCCCTTGTCCCTATGAGTTGTCCTAGGACAAATAACCTTCATCTGAGTAATAAATAGCTCTGGTGGTACCTACGCTCTCACTGCCAGGGTTATTAATGAGCATCGTGGCTTGATGGATTATGTTCCCATAGGTAAGCGTATCAAGAGTCTTACTCAGAGCTGGAAATGCAGCTCAGGGGTGGGGAGTTTACCCACCACGTGTCAGGCCCTGGCTTTGTCCACCAGCACCCCAGGAGTCTTGAACAAGCCATTGGTTTAGTGTATCCCACCCACAGCATGGCCTTTCCCAAACCAACCAGAAACTGACAAAGACAAGCAGCATATGTATGAAGAAAAAAACGTATATTTAGAATTAGCCAGCTGGACTCAGTTTAGATGATCCCAATCTGAAAAACAAAATGAAGCTTTGTTACCAGAGCTGAAATAGGAAGATTTAAGATGGAGTGTTGAAGATGAGAGGCTAGATGGGCAGAGCTTATTAAGGATCAGGGTGCAGTCAGTCATGTATGACTAATCAGGCAAAGTCAGGCTTTGGTCGCTAACAGATTCATCATTTGCACCCAGCGGGCAGGTGTGCAGTACTGGGGGTCCTGTATACAGGGGAGGAAGCTTACTTTGTTGGCAACGTCCAAAGCGTCATAATCAGGAGCCAGTCGAACATATGCCTTCTTCTCTCCGTCAGGCCTGGGTGGAGAAGGAAGCCTTAGCCTTGCTGAGCTCCCTGCCCCCATTCCTTCCCCCCCCTAGTCCTCTGGTGCATCAGCGGTTCCTTTGTTCATGTCATTCTTTTCCAAATAGTGAATTTTCCATCATTTGCACAGAGGAGCCACCAAGCCAATTTCCTTTCATTGGGAACACAAGACACTTGAGACTAAATTTACATAATCTAACATAATCTGTACTATCCTCCAGTGCCCGCCTCTGCCTCAATCCCATCGGTGAAGCCCCAGAGGGAATTTCCTCAGCTCTATACTTGATAAAAAGGACTAATTTCATAGGGGAGCTCATACTGTGTAAATCCTATTTCTGACCTTAGCATCAGGGAGCTTTAAGGTATACATACATGGTTCTAAGGCTGAGGATCTAGCTCGGTGGCACAAGTGCCTGCTTGGCAAGTGCAATGCTCCAAGTTGATTCCTGCTCTCCCCCGCAAAAAGCTCATAAAGTATACCTAGTTCCAACCACTTCGCCTGGGGCCCCACTCACCTGATTAGGGTATTGACCTTGGCCACGTCAATGTCATAGAGCTTCTTCACTGCTTGTTTGATCTGGTGCTTATTGGCCTTGACATCCACAATGAACACGACGGTATTGCTGTCCTCTATCTTTTTCACGGCTGACCCTGTGGTCAGGGGAAACTTGATGATGGCATAGTGGTCAAGCCTGGGGAGAAAACATTGGGGTCACCAGGCCTGGTCCGAGTAGGGTGGACTTTTCTGGAGCCCAAGGCTGAGAACACAGGTGCATCAGACAATGGGTAGCAATCATTTCTGTCAGACTTTGGTCGCTAACAAGTGTCATCAAATGCACCTTATTCTTAGGGGTGTGAAGCTCCTACTGGGAGGCAGAACCTTACCTATTTTATTTAACCTTAAGGGCTCATCCTTTAAAGAACCACCTGAGCTGGGCGTGGTGGTGCACCCCTGTAATCCTAGCACTGGGGAGGCTGAGGCAGGAGGATCATTGCAAATCCAACACCAGCCTGAGCTACAAAGTGAGCTCAAGGCTGGCCTGAACTGCATAGCAAAACCCTGTCTAAAAGAAAAAAAAACCAACAACAAAAAACACCTCTTTTTTTTTTTGTCTTTTGTCTTTTCTTCCGGTACCAGGAATCGAACTCATGACCTTGGGCTTGCCAAAAACACCTGACTCAAACCCTCACTTATTGGAGTTTCATGCTGACAGTTCCCTAGGAGGGTGGGTCAAACATTTCTGTCCCCACCCTGTAATCCCAGCACTTGGGAAGCTGAGGCAGGAGGATCTTGGAGTTTGAGGTCAGCCTGGGCTGCACAGTGAGATAAAGAACAGCTTGAACTACACAGATGCTGTCTCAAAACCACACACACAAACTGGGCGTGCTAGGACACGCTTGTAATCCCAGCATTTGAGAGGCTGAGGCAGTAGGATCGTAGCCTGTATTACATAGTGAGACCCTGTCTCAAAAAGCCAAAAAAACAAAAACAAAAATAAAGAAAAACCCAACAACAACAACAAAAAACCACAAACACCCCCCCCAAATCCCCCCAAACACAAAAATTCTGGCCCCCAATGACTGCTAAACAGGGGCTATGCTGGGGCCTGGAATGTAGCTCAGTGGCACACCTGCCTGGGAAATGTGAGGTCCTGAGTTCCATTGGTACCAAAACAAACAAACTAAAAAACACAAAAAGAAAGGCTGTGATCAACAGTTACCACTTTGAGACAGGGTCTCACTATATAGTCCAGATAGTCCTTGAACTCACAATTTTCCTGCCCCAGCTTCTAGTGGTAGGATTACAGGTTACCTTGAAAACAGCTTTCCCTCTGAATTTCAAATAAGCCAGTCCTTATCCAGTCACACATTTTCCTGTTTTGAAGGTAGCCAAGATCCTAACCCTTTATTACAGGAAATTATAGGTCCAAATTGGGGGCATAAAGGAAGCACACTCTCATCTCTTTCTCTTAGAAAATACCTTTTACCCACCCACCCAAATTCTTTGAGAAACTGTCTCAAATGGGCTGGGGATGCAGCTCAGTGGATCATCTGCATAGCACGTGCAAAGACTTTGGTTAAATCCTCAATATGGTACACACACACACAAAGACCCTCACCTCCATGGACGGTTTCCTCAAGCATTAAATGCCACAAGCACACTAAGTGTGTATGTATGTATATATACTTTTGGCAGAAGGTGGGATTGAGAAAGGCTCTAGCTATGTAGCCCAGGCTGGCTTCCAACACTGACCCTCCTGCCTCAGCCTCCCACCTGCTGGGATTCCCGCCCCCCCTTTTTTGGTACCAGGAATGGAACTCAGGACCTTAGGCTTGCCAGACAGGTGCTTATGCCACTGAGCTATATCCCCGGCCTTTTCTGGTCTTTTTGAGACAGGGTCTCGCTATGCAGTTCAGGCTGGCCTTGAGCTCACTTTGTAGCCCAGGCTGGTCTCAAACTCACAATGATCCTCCTGCCTCAGCTTCCTGAGTGCTGGGTGTGAGCTACCACACCCGGCTTAATTGTACTTCATACTCCCCACACAACACTTTCAAACTCTGACCATGCTGAATAACCAATGTAAAAAATCTGACACTGTATGTTGACAATTTTTCTGCCGGTATCTAAAAACTTTTAATTCTTAGTAGGGCAGAAAAACTGGGTGTGATGGCACCCACCTGTAATTTCAGCACTTGGGAGGCCAAGGCAGGAGGATCACCTCGAGTCTGAGGCCAGCCTGGACTACACAGGAGAACCTGTCTCAAAAAACAACCAAGCCAGGGGCTGGAGATATAGCTTAGTGGCATAAGCACCTGCCTGGAAAGCACAAGGTCGTGAGTTCAATCCTCAGTACCACCAAAAAAAAAAAAAAACAACCCAAAAAACAAACAAAAAAAAACAAATTTAGGCCGGGCGTGGTGGCTCACGCCTATGATCCCAGCACTAGGGAGGCTGAGGCAGGAGGATCGTTTTTGAGTTCGAGGCCACCGTGGGCCACAAAGTGAGCTCAAGGTCAGCCTGAACTGCACAGCGAGACCCTGTCTCCAAAAAAAACCCAAAAGAACAAGCCGGGCGTGGTGGCATACGCCTGTAATCCCAGTACTCGGGAGGCTGAAAATCTCATTCTCGTACACGAGGTATCAATGCATTTTTGAGAAGCACACGCCAGGGCGGGTAATTTAAATGAAGGACATCCGAACATCTTCGGGCACGCATAGGGGCAGTACTGACTTGTTTCTTCTGGGGGCGCTCTTCCGAGGGTATTTGGGCTGTCTCCGGAGCCGTAGTGTCTTGGGACGGCGGAAGGTGGGTGACGTTCGGATTTTCTTCTTTTTGTGGCTGTGGATGCCTTTCAGCACGGCCTTCTTGGCCTTCAAAGCTTTGGCTTTGGCTTCAGCTTTGGGAGGGGCAGGAGCTGGAAAAGAAAACGAAGGTCTGGGATGGAAAAGCCCGTTGGTCACTTCCGGCCCCACGTCTGCTAGCGGGTGCCCCCGACTACACGTGCATCAGCGGTTCCTTTGGAGACATCACAAATCTCAGGATAGTTAACTTTTCCATCATGTGCACGACATGTGAAGCGAAAACAACCAATCAGGAATAACTTAAAGGACAAAACGAAAAAAACTAGCACTCCGTAAGAGAGAGGCCATTTAACACATAAAAAAGGAAGAGATAATTCTGAAGCCACTTATGCGCTTACGGGTCTGGCGACACGGAGCGCCGGCCTGCGGATGATTGAGCTCCTCAGAGTCAACAGTGTGGCTCGCCCTGACGGATAACGCCGGCCGGGCTGCCGTTCCAAACCCCTTCACGGAACTCTAGCCCATGTGGTTTGCTTACGCGGCCCACTTTCGACACGGTGCACCCCAATCGCAGACAGTAGCTCCGAAGATTTCCCCAGGGCTCAACCCGACCCTACGAATGCGTTCGCTCTCCCGGCATTCCGGACAAACCCGCCGTGAAACCACCCCTCCCTCCAGCCCAGTACACACCTTCCTTCTTCGCCTTCGGCGCCATCTTGGTAAAAAGGGCCTCCTAACCTCGTTCCCATGGGCTTATAGCCCTAAATCTCACGAAAGACTCGCGATTTTTTTTACAGTATTCTGATTGGATAATCTTTAGAGTGTCGCTCGCTGGGAACTGTAGTTAAATTTAATTTCTTCGCCAGAGTAACTAAGCATGCGCCACTCCCCCCCCCAACCTCCGCTCAGGCCCCAAAGCTTCTTGGGAGTTGTAGTTTTTGGTTTGGTTTATTGATTTGTGTGGGGGTGTGTCTTTTTGAGACAGGGTCTCGCTATGCAGTTCAGGCTGGCCTTGAACTCACTTTGTAGCCCAAGCTGGCCTTGAACTCACAATGATCCTCCTGCCTCAGCCTCCCGAGTGCTGGGGTTACAGGCGTGAGCCACCACACCCGGATGGTTTGTTTATTCATTTATTATTTATTTGGTACCGGGAATCAAACTCAGGACCTTGCACTTGGCAGGCAGGCGCTTGTGCCGCTGAGTTATATTCCGGGCCCTAGTTTATTGATTTTTTATTGTTGTTGTTTTGTTTTTTTTCCCGCTACCGGTGATCTAACTCACGACCTTGCACTCACCGGTCAGGCGCTGTGCCACTGAGCTAAATCTCCAGCCCCTTAGTTTTTTGATTTACTAGGGAGTATCTTGTTGCTTTTTTTTTTTTTTTTTTTTTTTTTTTTGGTTTTTCTCCGG